GTCAGGGCAAAGCAATCCTCCTGACCAGAGCTTGCGAAGTGCCCCTCGAAGCGGCCCAGGAGGAACACGTAGAACTGCAGCACGCATTGCTCGTCGCCATACCTTCTCGTCTCCGATGCGCTCAGGAAGGTGTCCACGAACCCTCAGCATCACAAACGCCGCTCAATGTCACGATGGGCTGTCTGTAGGAGATTACACTTCTGGCCAGCATCATATTGAAAAAATATCGGGCTGAGCATGGACCATCCGATCCTCTACAGAGTGAGAAAAACCGCTGCAATAGGACCTCTTGCCATTTTCCATGTCGGACGCGTGGCGGCTTGAAGTCGAGCACGGAAGTCTTCAAGCGCGTGAAGCAGGTCAGCAATTGATGCTCGATTGTCCCATATGAAACTGCAGTATCTCTTGACAAGAATTGTAGTGCAATCAAAAATTGGATCAAACTTTTCATCGCTTTGGGAAATAAGGTAGAGCGTGAGTGAGCAGTTGCCACTGGCGCCAATCATGCCGCCTGCAACTGTGCGTAGTTGCTTGGGTGCAGAATCCGACGTACCACTCACTCCTGTGCCGTGCCCGACCGATGGGAGAATCCCTGTCCTCCACAAGAGCCCTACCTTCTCATGGACCGTGTCCCGAAGCTTCCAAATGCGCCTCCGAGGTTGCCCAAGAGCCCGAAGACGAGACTTTTCCATGACACGAGCGACTCGAACCCCGTAGAGGTCATGCCCAAGGTTCCTGATGTGCTTTTTACTTCGGAGCTTCATGCATCGAACCCACGACGCAAATCCACGAGCTGCCCTTATAGTAGTAGCTACATACCCAGACTTCCCACTCCGAAGCACAAGTCCGAGAGTAATGGCGTCCGAAGCAAAGTTACGTACACATGTGTGCAGTACGCGCGCCTCCTGAGGATCGTCACCTATGCATTGCATTGTGAAGTCATCGATAAGCACTCGCACCGACACAAGCGGACTGTAAAATTTATAATGTGAATCCACCACACGATACAACACCACCATGAGAACCGTTGTCGCATGCGTGCAACCAGCTAGTATGCCTTGGTGCGCCACGAACAAGTTGCTGATGTTGTTGAACGCTGGAATCGTACGAGGACATAGATATGTTTGGTAATCATCCGCATGAGGCGAAGGGGGAAGTCGAGCGCACGTGCCTCGTTCATGAACATGCTCCATAATATAGTTTCATAACATTTGAACATGTCCAATAATACAGTGATCACATGCTGTCTGCGTGCGTGCGCCACTTCAGTATTCAAGTTAAGATGGTATGCGCAGTCGCTCGATGATCGACCTGCTCCAGTACCCCAAAAGGAAGGATGAGCATGAGACCTTTCCCACACAGCGCTGAGGGGTCGGCGCACTCTGCCCCATACACGGAGCAAAGTGTTCAATAACGCTATCAGGGGAGTGCCGCCTGTGGGCTTAGGCAACATGCAAAGCTCGGTGAACAGCTGCTCTTGTGGCAAGGCGGAGGAGGAGGAGGAGGAGAAGGAGGAGAAAATGAAGAGGAGGAGGAGGAGGACGAGGAGGAGGAGGAGGAGGAGGAGTTGAGGAGGAGGAGGACGAGGAGGAGGAGGAGGAGAAGGAGGAGGAGGAGAAGGAGGAGGATGAGGAGGAGGGGGAGGGGAGGAGGAAAAGGAGAAGAAGGAGGAGGAGATGAAGGGAAAGGAGGAGGCGGAGGACAATGAGGAGCACGAGGAGGAAGAGGAGGGGAGGAGGAGGAGGAGGAGGAGGACAAGGAGGGAGGGAGGAGGAGGAGGCGGAGGAGGAGGCGGAGGCGGAGGAGAGGAGTTGAGGAGGAGGAGGAGGAGGAGGAGGAGGAGGAGTTGAGGGAGGAGGAGGAGGACGAGGAGGAGGAGGAGGAGGGCGGGGAGGAGGAGAAGTTGAGGAGGAGGCGGAGGAGGCGGAGGAGGATGAGAGGGAGGAGGGGGAGGAAGGGGAGGAGGAGGAGGAGGAGGAGAAGGAGGAGGAGAAGGAGGAGGAGGGGGAGGAGAAGGAGGACAAGGAGGAGGAGGAGGAGGAGGAGGGTGAGGATGAGTTGAGGAGGAGAAGGAGGAGGAGGAAGAGGCGGACGAGGAGGAGGAGGAGGAAAAGGAGGAGGAGGACGAGGAGCAGTGGGAGGCATCGTATCATGGAATTGCTCTGCGCGGGCAATCAGCCCGCGCGAGATCAGCTTGCGCAATCTCATTGGCGATCCGATCGGAGTTGGCCAGATCTCGCCGTCGGTGTGCGCGAGGTGCAGCCAGCGCCGGCACCACTGCACTTGGCAGCAACTCTCCTGCAAAAAGCTGCTACGGGATCCTACACGGACATCCGAACGCCAGACGGTGCGTCTGGCAGCGGTGGCGTCAACCGCAGAAACACGTGACCGAATCCATCACTTCACGTCGCCTGTACCCACCGCCAGACTACGCAAGTCCCACTTGACAAAACTCCTACATGCAAGTCTGAATGTGTTCCGCAGATGCTTTCTCTGATCT